ACAGAGGAGGCCCAAGGCTTGATAAGGAATTCATGAAAACCCAATTAATATATTGCACTGGAGGGGCTGCCCAGGTGGCCTGAACTCTGAGCTGCAGATCAGAATGAATGACGGGAGAGAGATGACTACTGTGGGCTTTTGTAGACTGGCTCTTTGCCTCCTTGTTCCCAGGGTGTTTAGATCATTGCAGAGAACAAGAAAGTCATGTTGGTCTTCCCAGCCCTCAAACACCCTGTATTAGTTTGCAAGGGCAAATCATTGTCTTACAGGTCTGGAGGCTCAAGAAGTCCGAGAATCAAGGTGTCAGTCTGCAGGGTTGGTTCCTTCGAAGGACTGTGAGGGAAAGATCTGTTCCAGGCCAATCTCAGTGGCTTGTTGATGGCCATCTTCTCTGTGTCTCTTCACATGTCTTCCCTCTATTTGTCTCTGTATCCAAATTTCCCCGTTTTTAAGAGGACACCAGTCATATTGGATTAGGGCCCACCCTAATGACCCCATTTTAATTTGATTACCTCTGTAAAGATCCTATCTTCAGATAAGGTCACATTATGAGTCACTGGGGGTTAGGACTTCAGTGTAAGAATTAGGGGGGNTGTGCCTTGCACCTTGCACCTGATGCAAGCCCATTCATCCTTTATGACTCATCATCTGCGGAGGTGGCCCTCCTCCCTTCCTTCTCCTGCCCACTTGACTACTTCCTCCTGTCTATCACTGACCTTGTATGTATTTCAATTACAGCACCGCACCATTTCGGATATGTCAAAAATTAGCAGAAAGGGACCATACACACAGGCACACACATCATGGATTAATGCCATAGTTAATTAATCAAGGGTACAGAAACTTACTGCCAGCACAGGCCACAGAAGGTGACAGTAGCAGCATAGCATCTGGCCAGGCCTTCCTCACTCCTTGCACCCTAACAAGGGGTGCAGATGCTAGTGACCCTGTCTGTGTTGGGTAAGGTGTTACCACATCTGGAAAAACAGCCCAATTTTTGCTGCCCCACAAGTTTGGTTGGGGGAGGGAGAATCACATCCCCATTCCAGTGGAATTCACACTAATAATCCATGTACTTGTACTTTAGAGGATGTTTACAAACACTGGGCTCTTCTGATTTTTGAACAAAATTCATTCTCAGCAATGATACAACTAAATCTAAGGGAGAAGCAGCATCATTGCCCAGGGCTCTCTAAGCAAAATCTCTGCCTTCAGCTGTGGTTCAGAAAATCTGTTTTCCGGAAGTCTGGCTCCAATTCTGATTTAATAACCCATGTGGGTGGACCTGATGTGGAGTGTGGTCCGAGGAGCGACATCCCAAATCTATTTCTCAGAAGCTCCTGCTACACTGATTAGAGCTCCACATTTCCATCTACAGAGGGAACAACTTCACGTCAGGGATAGCTTATTCATCATCTTTATGTCTCTAGCGACCACCACGGTTCCTGGAACACAGCAGATTATCAGAAAAAGTTCACCAAATGAATGAAGTTGAAGTGATCCTTTTTTCAAACTCATGGACGCCAACGAATGTTCCGCACACCCCAGCAATGTGTGGTTTCTCTGCTGAGACTCGTCCTGAGCTCTGCCATTGTGGTGGGGGGTGGGGAGGGGAGTGCTCTATCCCTTTTATCCCCTTTCTAGAAATTTTCCTCATTCCTCTTGGCATTCTTTTGGATCAAGGCCCTTGCTTCGGTGAGTTAAGGCTTACTTGAAACCAAAAAATATGAAAATGTGTATGCAGTGACAGAGTGATCCTGTTTTCAATTTTGGCCAAGATGATATCTCTTAAGGACTAAATGGCGTCATCTTTTACTTAAGCTTTTAGTGTTACCTCATCATAGAAAGCTGCAGCAAATTGGAGATACACTTAAATAAGTAAAAATGAAGTTAAAGGCCACAAAGAAGATCTGAAACAGCAATTATAATTGAGTGGTTATCAAGCTCCACATCTTAAACCAAGTCTTAAAAGAATTAGAGAATTCCTGGGGAGAGTTTGATCACTGATTTACATGACCTGGAATTCTACTGCGGTCATTAGTACTATAGGAAATTTGGGGGGAAAATGTGGTTTTTCTACCCTAGGTGAGGGGTATTATAAATATCTCTTACTTCCCTCAATTATCCATGTCATAAAAATTGTCTCAAATGTTTGCCTAAAATCTTGAGCATTATTGTTGAAAATATCCTGTTTAAGAAACATTTTTAGAACAGTCTGTGAAATACTCTTCAGCAAGCTGCTGGTGAAAGATTTTAAGTGGTGCTAGGAAAATTTATATGGGGCTATCGACTCATTAAAC